TGTCATGCATATTCATTGAGGTCTCAATGATTAAAGGACCCTGGACCTTGGAGCTTCCTTTTTGGGGCTAGTCCTAGGGTAAAATCACTGCAAAGTTGTAGTAAAGCAAGACGCAAGATTTCATTTGGCATATATTATAAGAAGGAAAAGTGGGAAACAGACAAGCATGCTGCCAGAGCCATGTCTGCCCGAGTCTGAGGAATGTTACAGAAACAACAATATATATTAGCATTACAAATGGGTAAAATCATTAAAAACTTCACCTTTTCACAGATTGGCTAAAAACTGCTAAATCGTGATTGATTCTACATTTTGATTTGTCTTTCTTAATAATCATTGGTACAAGTTTCAGTGACAAGAGTCAGGAGGGTCTTCATTGGTCCAACAAATCTTACTATTTACTAAATGCTAATAGAAAAAAAGGGAGTCTTGGTGACGCAGTGTTTAAGAGCTCAGGAGTCAACTTGACAGAAATGGGTTTGGTTTTGGGTTTAATAGGAAAAGGTAAGAGTGGAAATAATGTGGGTCTTTCATGCTCTATCTAAGTATTTATTTATGTGAAAGTTTTCCTAAAAGATATTTTCCAAGATTGTCTTCCCGTTAACCAAAACCAAACCCATTGCTGGCGAGATGATTCTGAATCATAGTGACCCAATAGGACAGAGTAGAACTGCCCTGTAGGGTTTCCAAGGAGCAGATGGTGGATTTAAACTGCTGACCTTTTGGTTAGCACCCGAGCTCTTAACCACTATACCACCAGAGCTTCAAGATTGTCCTAGCTATTGTTTTTATACCCTAGGACCCAGGTGATGTGTCCTTGTGAGACCTTGTTGCTCCAGCTGGATCACAGTCTTTATACTCAAGGGCAGGGAATAATGGTTCCAATTTTAATTCCTAAGTCAGGTTTCCTGGATCAGTGAGAACATCCTGCTATCCTGCTTCACCTTTCTGGGGACAATAGAAGCCCTGTGCTGGTGAGACTTCTCCCAGACCTTGCCTGATGCATCTGTTCACTAGTATCCTTTCTGGTAGTGTAGGTCATCTCTGTGGATTTTGCAAGCTGTTATAGAGAATTAATGACACCACAAGGGGCAATGAGCCTGCAGGGGCTGCCAGGACAGAATTGATTTGTGAAAACCCAGCTGTGGGTGGCTGGGTGACAGAGAGAGGCTGTATGAGCAGTTGAAGAAGAAGGATAAAGTTCCTCTAGCTTGTGAACTAGTCCCAGGGGAGGCTGGCTGGTTAGAAGTACAAGGAGTCCTGCAGACTCTTGTCCTATGGCTGGTCTCCAGTAACCTGGCCTCAGGTGGCCTGGGATATTTGACCTGGCTCAGGTTGGCCGGGGATGAAGTTTGGCTTAACTCTGGGTAGTTAGGGTCAGAGAGAGGAAATGTAACAGGAGTGGCTGGAGAAGAGTAACAAAAGATGTGGGAAGGTGAAGCCTGAGTTCACTTCCAGATGGGAACTGGATTTCTGCTGATTCTTAGCACACAATTAGTGATAAAGTTGGGGTTTTCCCACCTGACCCCTTTAACAGTCATCCCAGGCCATAAGAAGGGAATGCAGAAAAGGAAAGGTAGAAGGTATCAGCAAGTGTGAGGATGTAGAGCAATGCATGAATATTTATGAAACAATGAACACCTAAGTCTGGTACAGACATTTGGGTTTATGTTGGAGATTATTGGAAGCTAAGGCTTGAAAGGTGGTTCAGAGGCAGATCTGGGCAAATCTTGAACACCAAGCTCAGGAATAGGCAAAAAAGTGCAACTGAAATATTTGAACAAAGTAAGCTGCACAGAAGGAATGCGGGAAGGGGAAGAGAAGACATCAACTAATGAAAAAATTCTGTGATGTGTCTAATTAGGAACATACTTCATGCCAGGTAGTATCAGGTATTCACCATGGTTGTTAGTCTGCTCTACATCAGAAGGCATTCATTAAGTTCATGGGGCATCAGGCAAAAGAAGGAGGGTCTACTTTTTAGTTGCTAATGGTTTGGTGCCTTAGAAGTGTGTGTATACAAGTACTGGACAGCAGCACTCATATGGCTCCTCCTAAATTCACTGCTACCACCCATGGGCTGCTAAACATTTGCTCCTAAAATCCAGGGACACAGCCTTCTTTATGTTTTAGTGAGTTAGCAGACAACATACTCTATGCTACGGATAATGAGCATTATATAGGGTAGACCATAAGTTGAACAACACAGGTGCATAACCTCTTAAAAAAAAAAAAAACCCAAACCCATTACCGTTGAGTTGATTCTGACTCATAGTGACCCTATAGGACAGAGTAGAACTGCCCCCATAGGGTTTCCAAGGAGCGGCTTGTGGATTCGAACTACCAACCTTTTGGTTAGCAGCCATAGCTCTTAACCACTGTGTCACCAGGACTCCATGCATAGCCTCTAGGTGCCTTCATTTCAAACATAGCTAACTCAAGCTTTCAAAATAATTTCCTTGTTCCAACCCTCTCTATTATTCTCTATTACACCTTTCAAACCCTAACCATCTTTTTCCAAAGTAAAACTCTTTGCTTATTTTAAATTTATCCCTTGGTATCTGTCTTAGTCGTCTAGTGCTGCTGTAACAGAAATACCATAAGTGGATGGCTTCAACAAAGTTTATTCTCTCACAGTCCATTAGGCTACAAGTCCAAATTCAGGGCGTCAGCTCCAAGGGAAGGCTCTCTCTGTCGGCTCTGGAGGAAGGTCCTCATCGTCATCAATCTTCTCCTGGTCTAAGAGCTTCTCAGGCACAGGGATCCCGGGTCCAAAGGACGTGCTCTGCTCCTGGTGCTGCTTTCTTGGTGGTATGAGGTCCCCAACTCTCTGCTTGCTTTATCTTTATCTTGTAAGATAAAAGGTGGTGCAGGCCACACCCCAGGGAAACTCCCTTTACATTGGATCAGGGATGTGACCTTAGTAAGGGTGTTACAATCTCACCTAATCCTCTTTAACATAAAATTACAATCACCAAATGGAGGACAACCACACAGTACTGGGAATCATGGCCCAGCCAAATTGATACACACATTTTTGTGGGAACATAATTCAGTCTATGACAGTATCCTACTCTTTTGTTTTGACTTTAGATCTGCCATTAATCAGCAAAGTGAATTTAAGTACATCTCTTGAGCCTCTTAGGTCTGTATTTGAACTAGGTTGGACTGGATGATCTCGACTTGTCTTTTCATTCCAAAATGAGACAATGTATATAAAAGCTCTTTGTGAACTATGGGGGTGCTACAAATGTAAGGGTAGTTATTATTTCTGTTTCTATTTTATTTCTATTTATTTTTATTTCTACATTCCCCTCAAATGCCTCTAAAGCCTCCACCTCATACATATCCTGGATAAATTTTCCACTGCACTTTATTTAAAAGGAGATGGTGACACAATTAAGAATATTTAACAGCGTCTGGAGTGTTGTCTGTGTGTATATGGGGATGGTATTTTCTTCCTGTACTAGTCATCTAGTGCTGCTATAACAGAAATACCACAAGTGGATGGCTTTAACAAACAGAAGTTTATTCTCCATCAATCTTCACCTCAACTAAGAGCTTCTCTGCTCAGGAACCCCGGGCCTAAAGGATGCACTCTGCTCCTGGCGCTGCTTTCTAGATGGTATGATGTCTCCCTGTTTCTCTGCCCACTTCTCTCTTTTTGAGCCCAAAAAAAAAAAATCAGCTCAAGAGGCAATCTAATCTTGTAGATTGAGTCCTGCCTTATTAACACAACTGCCACCCATCCCCCCTCATTAACATCATAGAGGCAGGATTTACAACACATAGGAAAATCACATCAGATGATAAAATGGTGGACAATCATACAATTCCGGGAATCATGGCCCAGGCAAATCGATACACATATTTTTGGGTGGACATAACTCAATCCATGACACTCTCTTATGGTCTATTTACCACACGTAAAAAGGATAACAGCTTTTATTTCTACCAGCTCTCTCTAGCTGTGGGGAGTAATGAAGTCACATAGATAGCAAGAACCCACATTTTACTGACTCTTGTCCTATTTATTCAAGCAGGATCCCAAACCATTGTAACCCACCTCTCCACCAGTCACCCAGACATTCCTGGGAAAGTCCAGGGGAGTCCTGGTCACTAGTTAGCCACCAGGATGTTGATAAATAGTTTTTTTCCTTTTTTTTGCTCAGTCTCTTCTTTTCTGGTTATGACTCTGCTCCCCAGACATTACTGCATCCACCAGATTCCATCCCGCCTTCGACTGCAGTTGAACCTGGAGCTAGGGAGATGCCAAGGTGGCATGGAGTGTTGCATAGATGTGGGAAACAATGCTTCACTCCCCTTTCTGTGCAAACAGTAGATAGGTTCCAAAGCATGCTGCTGAGAGATACCAAATGGCACTGTCTTGGTGAAAATTGTCTTTGAGCTTTTACTTATACTTTGCACCCTTGGTCCTCTTAATTTCAAATATGAATTCAAGGGATGACTGGACTGGGATACAAATCAGACTGATAGACACAGACAAGATCAGAATTTCCATTCATCCCTGGAGAAGGACATTATGCTTGGTAAGGTAGAGGGTCAGTGAAAAAGAGGAAGACCCTCAAGGAGATGGATTGACAGAGTGGCTGCAACAACAGGCCCAAACACAGCAATGATTGTGAGGATGGTGAAGGACAGGGCAGTGTTTTGTTCTGTTGTACATAGTGTTGCTATAAGCCAGAACTGACTCGATGGCACCTAACAACAACACCAGGGACTAAGCCTTTCTTTCTCAGTGAAGCTTGAGATGCCACATCCTTTTTTCCTTAGGATGGGTTTCCTGCAGTAGTCTTCTAATGGCAAAGACAGAACATCAGCCTGAGACAGAGACAGTGTGTAAAAAATGTGAAAAAAAAAATTGAATTCATAACCCTGATACCAACATCCCTTAAGAGATGAAACCGTCTTTAGGAAAAATATCTTGCTAAGTCTTGTGGTAGTTGGAAGCTGAGATCCTGAAGGCCTGGCAGTTGGCCTCAGTGCCCTTTCTTTAGAAACTTTTGCAATGTAGGGCTGCTCAGCATCAGTGAAGTGGAATGAATACAGCTTAGAGTGTAGATGACAGCTTCCCAGGCCCAGAACCAGGATCTCTTCTCAAATAGGTGAGCTAAAATGGAGACCAATAAAGTTAGAAAGTAAGTGGTGAAGAAGACAAGGAAGATGGCAAGAGATCTGAGGGCCGTGGAATGAGCTTTCATGTTGGAGATGCAGTAGCCAGTGTTGTGGTGGTCTTGCATCTGCTGCAAGTGTTGCGAGCGCGAGGTCATAAGAAAGATGGTGGAGGGAAGGAACAGGAGGAAAGGAATAGCCAACGTAACCATTTGCTGAGGTATGCTAACATACTGCTCGAATATCTTAAGTCTATCAGTTGCAGTACTATTTCTAGGGGAACTCTCCATGATGATCTGCGACCGAGTGTGACTCCTAATTGTTGAAGGGATGATTGTCACACAAGAAAACAGTAGAGAACCCAGCAACGGCCAAGGAACCAATCTCGAAATTCTCCACTTCAGCCAGAGGAAGATGGGGTGGGTGAAGGAAGAGACCTTGACACAGTAGAATACAGCAAGCAAGCTGGTGAACCAAAATGTGGCATTATTAGCAAAATCCCAGATGACTGATAAGTACCAAAATAGAAAATTAGGATCAAAATAGGTACAAAAGTTGTACAGCATTGATGCCCACTGCCGACAGAAGTGGGAGATGCCCAGGCTGGTGAGAATCATGTCCACGGGTAACAGTCTTTTGCCCTGTACCCACTCCTTGCCCAGCATTGCAAAAATTAAGCTGCTCTGCACAATGATTGTCAGAGACAGGAGCATGTAAATGATAATGAAGAAGACAGTGAGTTGGATGGGCATCGTTCTTCCACCTCAAAGTATCCTTCTGGACTCAGAATCTCTGCAGCAATTTCTAGGTAGGGAACAAGTGCCTGGTCTCAACATTGCCTCATGCAGGACAGCACCTCCCTCTGGATGCAAAAGTTTCACAGGTCATTTTTGACTCTGCCATTTTCCCATTACTGGATTTGCTTATGCTTAGTTTTCTGGTATGTTACCAGGACTAGATGTAGGGAAAATTTGTTTGAGTATGGATTCTTGCTCCTAAGATAATTTGGTTATTCCCATAAAAGGCATACTTATTTTATAATCATGCTTTTTCTTCTTCTTTCTCTATCTGAGGTGCCCTTAGCTGCTTCCTCCATCTTCTTTAAATAATATCTTCACTCTTTTAGCCTAAAATTTGAGCCCAGGAATGATAAATCCTTCACTATTCAGTCAATGCCAACCTCAGAAACCCTGTCTCCCCAGTTTCCATAGAAGCTGGGGTGGATGCTACAACTAAAGGGTGAGAGTAAACAAAAATGATAATGAAAAGTCTTTGTAGGGAGACTCCACCTGCAAAACTGCTGGAACCCAAGAACTTCAACTACCACTACCCAGTGCAGGCCACTCTCCTAACTGGCCTTTGGATATTCTAGCTCAGAGAAATCATTGCACACTCCTTTGTCCATTTCCTCCCATCCAGCCATGGAATCATTAGCTGCTGGTCTTCTGCTAATTCCAAAGCCTTGAGCATAAGCTTTCTATATCTTTGGGAATTGTTCTTGTTGCACATAGTGAGGTTGTTTTTGCTCACATTGCTCAAGATGAGCCTGCTGTGCCCTGAGATCCTTTGCATAGGTGTGTCGGAAAGGCGACGGTAGCCAACTACACAACTCTTACAGAGAAGAGGGGCCAAGGAGGGTCATTCCGAAGAGTCGACCCCGGCTTCAGTCCCAGGAGTTTATTTATAGTCAATACTGCAAGCAGCGAAGCAAATAACAGAACTATGGGCTTTGGTTGAGTAAAAATAAGTTTCGGGCAAGGGAGAATGGACTTCAGGTAAACAAGCCAATCAGTAATGAGACAATAGGTTTTGGAAAAACAAGTCATGCCTAATCTCCTTCTCATCACTGACAAGTCTCAACATGTTGTGTGTAGCATATGGGCCTTTGAGGGGTTGAAGTTGTCAATAGTGCAGCCATGTTTAAATGGCACATATCCCCACATAGGTGGATGACTCTTCCCCATCCTGGAGTTTATTTTCAGCCAGCAAAAATACTGTATATATCATATATGTATATAGAAACATACATACATGATATATATATATATATACACAAACACATACATATATATCAGAAAAAGATTAGTATCTAGAATATATATAAAGAACTCATAAAAACTTATTGGAAAAAAATAGAAAACAGGCAAATGAAAGAGTAGTCAATTCACCAAATGGTAACCAATAATAACCAAGAAATACCCAAAGAGATGCTCAACCTCACTAGTGATCAGAGAAATGCAAATAATGTGAGAAATGCTTTTCATTCTTCACATTAAAAAACAAAATAGAAATTGGATAAAGTCAAGTTTAGGAGATGATATGGAAATCTTTATGTAATGCTGGTTGAAATGTAGATTAATATAGTTAAACTGGAAAAAATTGGTCATATTTAATAAATTAAAAAATTTAAATACCTTATTCTATAGTCATTCTACTTCTACGTATATATTATATATTGTAGAGAAATTCTTACACTTATATACAAGTAGACATTCATAAGTCTGGTATTTTAGAGTTGTTTGTAATAGCAAAGGACTGGTAACTGTATAAATGAACGAACATTGGTGGAGTAACAGATAAACTGTGTTATAGTCTCATAATAGTCAAAGAACATGCAGACATTTGTTTGCCTTCCCCAGAGATGACTTCCTGCATTTTTTTCCTTACTGGCAGAACCTGTCACTTAGTAGAGGAACCAGAAATGCCAGACTCTTATTTTATTGTTTCCGTTTCTGGTTTGGTTTGGGCATGACAAATAATTGTGGGCTCTGGGAAGACAGGAGAAGCCTGATGAGGTCTTCTGTGAAAGACATTCATCTCCAATAAGAGAGCCTCGTAAGGAAAAATTCTTTCCCCTTTTCTTCCTGTGTTGGGTGTTATTCTGTGAGTTCACGATGCTGTGAGTTGCTGCAGCCATTTTGTGATTCTGAGGCGAAAGCAGAGAAATTTCAGAGAAGTCAGCACAGAGGCTAATATTGTTGAATGCTAATTAATATTTGAATGACTTAACTCTGAAATTTTGTTTCATGAGCAGAATAAACACCTATAGTTTAAACCACTTAGAGATCTTGGGACTGAGAATGTAGAATAATGCCAGAAACAGAGAGAGAGAGGTAGTATGTGGTCTGATAATATTTTTCGTCTCTGAATAAACTTAATTCTATGCACCTGAATTTCACAAATAATAAAATGATAGTAATGATCAACAAGGTTTAATAAGAACATATATTTAAAAATAAATATATTTATATATAAATTATGTTCTCAATAAAATTTAAAAATATAAATTTGTAACAAGATGGAGAAAAGTAGATCTAGGGAAATGCAGATCTTGTGGTATGCCTGCTCCCAGCAAGCAAAGCAGCAAGGACAAAGAACAGGACAACACTTTACAGAGCTGCACATGGAAGGAGGATATTATAAAAGGAATACTAGCTTTTGGGAAGGGAGCAGAGACATAGGAATATACCTTATATCATGTGATTCTTCTGTTCAACTTAAGAAATGTTCAGGAAAGTTTTTGATTCATATAAATATAGAGACCATTTCAATTTCTCACAGAATTTGTAAAGGGTTAGAACTCTGAATCTGTCTCTGATGGTATATATCAATTGAGAAGTTCTTGTAGACTCAGGAGAATAGATTTCGAAAACTGGGTAAATAAGATGTGGGCCTTGTTGGGAAGGCTCAACCTGCCCCAAGTCTATAATTGGGATTTTAACAAAGCTTTACCTGAATCTCAGAGGCTCACGTAATGATTAAACCACATATTCCGGTTTCTTTGCTGCTGTAACCAATACTATCTGGGATTAAATCATCATCCTAGAATGACCAAGAATGCAATTTTAGTATTTCTGAAAAACATGGTACAGAGGACTAGAAGCCAACAGAACCCACTCCAAGATGTTTCTTAGCATTCTATCCCAGGATCAGAAGGACACTGCCAGAAATGCTGAAACCACATTATAGGTTAGGGAGAAGCGTTGTTTGAGACTATAGACATTTTAGACAAAGTTGGATGTACTTTGTCTATGGGAATTTATTAGAGTCCCTGCTATTTCCTCTCTAAACCACAGCCTGGAAGTGTGTGTTAAACTAGCTGCCATTGACATGCCAGGTTTTAAAAAGGTGGAGTCCTTCCTGGTGCATTGGTCTACTTCTACCAAAAGTGAGCAACATATTCATGGAATGGAGTTCTAGGACTGGATTTAGGGTAGTGCATGCTGCTGAAATGTTACAGGAGCATGGGCAGAGATGGAGGAAAATATTAGGAGCAATTCTAGTTACATGTGATCTCGGAGCTGTAAACATCTTCCTGAGTGGTCTCCACAGATGACTTCCTAACAGCATCCAACTGGTGTTGGATAATACATATGTCAAGTGCCTGGCCACAAGTAAAAGGAAAAAGCTCTTCTACAAATATGCTATGCTGTTTTAGAGCTTGAAAGATCAGTCCTAGTTCATATAAGTTAGAGTGAGGTTAATTTATAGCAAAACTTTGCTTGAAAACATAGATTTCAATAGAGACATGAACTTAATTTCTCCCACACCACAAAGTCTAGTTCTTTATGGAGAGAAGGGACAAAGGAGAATGGGCACACTGGCTGCTGTCGAGTCAATTTTGACTCCTAGTGACCCCATATGACAGAGCAGAACTGCCCCGTAGGGTGTTCCAGGCTATAATCTTTATGGGAGCAAATCGTCAAGATTTTCTCTCCTGTGGAGCTCCTGGGTGGGTTCGAACCACCAACCTTTTGGTTAGCAGCCGAGTGCTTAACTGTTGCACCATCAGGGCTCCTTGAAGCACCTAGTAGGTACTCAGAAAATATCTGCTGAACGAATGACTAGGACAGAGAGAATAGACTAGAGAACCATGTGTTCTACTCTATTACAAGTGTAAGGGCCTTGGAAACCAAAAACCCAGCCTCCTATCCTAGTAGAGAAATATACTTTATTATTACATGTAATATATTCCTATGTCATTCAAGCAATTGAAATTGGCACATATGCTAAAATATAAATGTGCCCAAATTGGCAGCTATTTTTTTTTAGGAAAAAAAACTTGTGTCTTATGGCATTTCATGCGAACAAATGCATTGAAATTGAATACAGACAATGACAATTGTAAAGTCCTGTAAATCACACGTGACATTGTGGTAAGGGTAGTTCCCACGATCTGCACTGCTGCCTTACTGACCAGTGTTTGGATCAATAGGACTGGCAAATTAGACCCGAAATTAATTCAATCTGAATTCAGCAATAGGCTGATTATACCCCCATCCCATGGTAGTTTATTTTTACACCATTGCAGGCAGAATAAACATCCCCCCTCAAAATATCCAAGTCCTAATCCCCAAAACCTGTGAATATGTTACCTTACATGGCAAAAGGGACTTTGCAGGTGTGATTAAGTTGAAGATCTTGAGATGGGGAAATAATCCTGGAAGACATGGATGGGCCAAATTGTAATCACAAAGTCCTTATAAGAGGGAGGCAGGGGGGTCAGAGTCAGAGCAGAGGCGATGATGGAAGTAGAGGTGAGGGTGATGTGGCCACAAGCCAAGGAATGCAGGCAGCTTCTAGAAGCTGGAAAAGGCGAGGAATAAATTCTCCCCTAGAACCTTCATAAGGAATGCAACTCTGCCGATACTTTGATTTTAGGCCTGTAAGACCCACTTTAGACTTCAGACCTCCAGAACTGTAAGATAATACATTTGTGTTGTTTTAAGCCACTAAGTTTGTGGTAATTTGT